TGAAGTTGTGTCACCGATGATTTCTGCCTCTGTGATGGTGGTGGAGAACACGGATGCCCCATCCGCGACGTCTTTAGAGGAGGCACCACCACAATCGGGGAGTGCTGTCAGCATACGCAGCGGTGGTGGGGCGATGGTGTTCTCTGGTTTGATTGGATCACCGGGCATTGGCGCGTAACGGCCCTGACGCCGTGCATTCTCCGCGTGTTTCTGCTGCATAGATGGCAGTCGGAAGAGCGGCACTCCCAACGCATCACAAACCCGCTCTGCATGCATCGCTGCCAGCAGTTCCGCATCCTTCTCGTCCTCACCGATACCCTCCGCCACGTAGAAGTGGTGCGGTGATGGGAGGACTAATTTGCACCGGGCGCGGTACACCGTCCTTCCCAGCATCTGCTCCGCACTCACCTCAAAGACATCCGCAGATCGATTCCCCATGCGGCGGACGTAGTTGAGTACACGACTCTTGGCGAAGTTATCGATGCTTGTGACATCCCAGTAGTGCTTCTGGCGCAGCTCATCACCGGTAGATCGCGTGCTAGTCCCGTCGGCACGGCTACTCATGTCAACCTCACAACGATGGCAGTCCATGTTGCCATCCCTATCGCTGTGGCTGTCACCAACACCAGCAGCTGTGTGGCTGCCGTGTTCCTCTGCGGCGGGAACGATCTCAATTGTCACCATCTCTGGTGCAATCGCCTCCCGCATTTCAGAGCCGCTGTTGCAAGAGGACGAAAAGTGGAAGTTGAGTGCCGTATTACTGCCTCTTATGAGGCAACGTCGTGCCATCCAAAGCAGGCGGTCCGTGCCCGCCAGCACACGTATCCCCCGCATGTGTCCGCCTCTTCACGCAACACCCTCTCGGCAATAACTGCACACATGAAGGGGGCGAGTGGTTTTAGAATATAATCATCCGAGCAACCACATCCCCCCCCCCCCAAAAAAAAAAGGAAAAAAGAATAAAAAAGAATGAGTAGATACAAAAGAGAAGAAGTTGTCATACATGGTGTACAATATTGCATTTCTTCCTCATTCACTTCTCCTGGCTTCCCCATTTAGTTTATTTTATTTTTCATGTTTTTCCTTCCAATATAAACAATCCCAAATGGTAGCATTATGAATAATAATAATAATAATAATAATAACGACCGCAACAATGGTGAATTGGGAAATGCATCTGTGCATGTTGGAGAAGAAAACAACAACAACAACAAAGAGGTGCGTGTGTGTGTGTGTGGGGGGGGGGGGAAGAGAAGGAAAACAAAAACACAAAAATTCTTGTAGGCACATTTGTAGCACCTCAAAGATCCCACATCATCGCGCAGCAATCCAACTAAAAGAAGGGGGAAATAATAGAAAAAAAAAAAGAAGAAAAAAATAAAATAAAATAAATAAATACAAATACAACAATAGACCTAATGAAGCCCATTTAAGAAAACACGTATGCATATATATATATACATATATATAGAGGGAGAGAGAAGAAGCAAAAAAAAAAAAAAGGGTTGGAAAAGATCACGTACATCTTTCTAGCTTCTTTTTTAACATTTCACTCAAACCCTCCCTCATCGCAAAGGCAAAATAACCCTTTTTTTTTTTTTTCCTTCTTCTTCTTCTTTTTCTTTGATTGTTTGTTTGCTTTTCATCTTCCCTACACAAGAGGTGGTTTGTGTACACAACACTCACGCCATGTACTCAAACACAGAGGTGTCTTTCTCGCTTCGCCGTAGGAAGCCACGGCAGACAAGATCCTCCACTTGCATCTTCACAGAGCGTGGACGGGGGACAAACTGTTTTGAAAGCTGTTGTACCGTCAAGTCGAAAAGCTCATAGTACCGCAGGGAACGGCGGCTTTTCATGATACGTACAATGGCAGCATCCATCTGAATGCGTCGGGATGCCTCAATTTCATCCGAGAGAGCCGCGGTTGTCCTTTCTACATGCGTGGAGCTAACAACCGACCCTTTGAACCCCTCGCCGCGAGAGGGACGAGCCACCGGAAGCCCAAACTTGCGCAACTTGTGCGTGTACTCGACATTCAGTGTGAAGTGATCCTCTGGCAATAGTTGCCCAGGCGCGGTACCGCTGGGAGTCGCTGCTGCATCATCATCATCATCAACAGCAGCAGCAGCAGCATTACGTGCGTTTGGTGGTGATAACGGCGGCGATGACTGAGTTGTCTGGCCTGTACCGGCCACGGCGGACGGATCCACACGTACAAGAAGGTTGTACAGTTTATGCTTTACGAGCGGGGCAAGATACATGTAAATGTCGCAAAACTCCATCCCCATCGCTGTGGCAATCTCTCGCCCAGACAACGAACGCCTACTTGCCATAGCCGTGTGGCTATCATTGGCTCCACTCGACGCGGCACCACCCCGATCCATGTTGTACGCATCGCTTATCAAAATGAGTATATGCGCTTGTAGATTGTTGGCAATCACCTCTTTGTCGCCTTTGGGAAATACGGCGTGAAGCGTGGCAGTTCCGAGCGTGTGAATCCAGTGCAGCATACGGGATGGATGCACCCCAATGTAGTAATCTGTAAAGTTCTTCATGACAAGTGCGAGGGAGTCGCATGGCGTGAGGGGCACAACGCGATAGGTAGGCCAGTGCACGGAAGTGAGGACTTGAACCCGCAGCCTCGTCGGTAATGCGAGGGCAACATCGGATCGGGAAAATTCTTCATTCATACTTGCGGTGACTTCGTGATCCCGTAGCATGGCTTCCAGACCGTAGGTCAGTGTGCGTCCAAGGGCATGATGCATCTTATGCATCATAACATGCTCCCGATCCATGTTTCGTTGAGCGGACGGTAGAAACAACAGGCGACGCGCCAAAAGTAATTTATAGTGCTCCAGGAATACATCCTTGTCGTCCACAAGGGTGATGAGGTAGAGAATGTGGTCCGTGGGGTCCGTCACACCATCGTCCATCTCCCGCCTACAGAGTAGGTCACAGTACATGGCAAGAAACTGCGGCACCGCAATCTCCCTTGATCCACGCATGGTGGCCAACCTATTCAGTACCGCCACCGTCTTCTTCGCGGCATCGTGGTTAAGCAGCACACTCGGCAACTCCCCTCTGTTAACAGCAGCCACGCCTCCATGCATTGCACCCCCCACTACAAGTTGCCCCCACCGTTCCGGGTTTAATATCTCACGCATCGCATCACCCATTGCCACCTGCATCGGTGGGTGTTCATTAAACTTCTCACAGATAAGTTTATTGTAATGTATGGACGTATCTACAAGGCCTTTAATGAGCGCCATCGCTAGGTCTTGCTGCGTCAAAAAATTCTTATCGGAGGGAAGGCCATCCGCTCTCAGCGAACGCCTTCTTCTCATTGGTATGACAGTCTTCCGCGGTTGTACCGGCGGGGACGATGCGGACTGCTGGGTTCCTGGCGGCTCCTTTTCCCCCTGTTGGAGTTGCTGTGGTGCCAACGCCTCCAGCTGGGACATGTAAGTAAAGAAAAGTGCGGCAGTGTCCACGACTACTTTGCTGGCAAACTCGCTGGCCAGTAATGTCCAACACGCCTCGTCCTGCGTGCTGACAAAGGTTGCAACAAACTCTTTTATGCGGTCTCCAAGTTCCTCCCGAGAGAGCTGCTCCCACGGGTTTGTCGACTGCGCCGAGAAGAACGCAGCAGGCGAGGTGGCAGCGTCAACGTCGCTGCAAGTTCCAGACATCGCCGCCCCCATAGGGGGAATAGAGGAGGAAGATGAGGAACCATCCTTCCACATGTCCCCAGCGCCTTGCTCGGTGTTGCTATCCCACGCATCCAGCTGGGCACGAAATCCAACTTCTTTTGCGAGAATAATTGATCGATGAACTTCCACCAAAAGGACGTGGTGAATGCGCTCCCGCAATGCACTGAGTAAGAGTGGCGCATTTACATCCCGCATCAATGATCGCTCAATAGCAAGACAACCTTGGACCCACGGTATATAGTCCATCCATCCCTCTGGAGTGCTGAATTGCATCTCCCGCCGGTTTCGGTAATACGTCTCGGCGGCCTGCACATAACGCAGACCAAATTCCGCAAAGATGAGAAAATGCAACGGCTGCGTAATTTCGACGATGACGACTCCCGCAGAGTCCACGGAACACTTTGCACTCCCTTCGCAACCAGCACTAGTAATACCAATACCGGCGCCATTGTTGTGTTGGTGGTGAGAACTCTTGTTCCTACTGCTGCTCCTCATCACATGAGCCGCCAACAAATCACCAAATGAACGTCTTTCAAGCCTCTCACGCAGCATCCGGATACCATCGAGCGATCTGTACGCCATCGCATCCCAGTCTTTTGCTAACGGGCTGCTGCTAATGCTGTGGCCCTCGCTGCCGTTCTGCTGCTCCACTCGGCTGTGATCACTGTTGTGACTCTTATTTAAAGGGGACCGTGGGGATTCACCCATAGTACGAGGCGGGTCACGGTTCGGCGCCGTGGACGGGCTCTGCATGCGCCCTACTTTGGCAGCGAAGGCAGCAAGCATGTTTCTTCCCTCCCCTACACCTCGCTTGTAGTTGCAAGGGTTTGAATTATCCTTCTTTTGGTGGGTAAGTGCACTCTGCGTGTTTGCATCATACGGGGCTGAAAAGGCCTTCACGGTGGATAAAATTTCCACAATGGACAAGAGGGCCTGCTGGACGTCGCTACAAGCCGATGACACCGCCTTGTCGTTGAGGTACGCCGTCCTCGCTGCATCTGCCAGCTCCAGCACCTCCGCTATCAATGCCTCCTTCATGGGCTCATACACCACGACATAAAACAACTTTACGCAGAGTGCCGTCACCGGGTCCAGGCGGAACTTCGCCGTAAAGTACTGATCCAAGTAGCTGAAGCAGGAGAGGACAACGCGGCGGAATGCCATGAATAGTTTGTACTGCTGCACGAATTGCAGGCACAGACTCGACGACGGCGGCGATCCACAGGGGGCATTTCTTCGGAGAAACTGCCGAAGCACATTGACCTCCAAGTCATTCAGAAGAAAGAGTGATAGGCGGTGGTAAACTTCGCTTGATTTCTGCGGGTGACCGCTACAGACGGAGTAAATCACGGCGTACCAATTCATGCGATGCCTGACATCTCTCAAACGATCCATCATTTCAGCACTCCCGGTGCGTATCGTATGGGCCGCGTGTACGAGATAACTCTCCACACCAGGCCAGAGATCATCCACTGAGGGTCGATCCTGCAGTCGTGAGAATACGTCCCTCTCGCGAATACAAGAACAGTCAACACGTTTAGCATCACTCCTACAACCACCACTGTCATGCTTACTGCCGCTTCGGCTGCCATTGCTACTACTACTACCACTACTACTACCACGAATGCTGATAAGATCACCCAACGAAGTGGGCATATATGTTTATTCGGTACACCAACTGGTCTCCCTGTTATTATTACTATTATATATATTTGTTCTTTTTGTTATTATAAACAAAAGCCCCACACTCCTTCTTATTTTTTTTTTTCCCCTGTATGGTATCTCGGGGGAGATATTGACCAATCTATCTACCGATCTATCCTGTATATATATGTATATATATATTGGGATAATGGCAATGGTGTTCTGAAAGAAAAAAAGAAGAAAATAAATAAATAGAAAAATAGAAAAGAAATAAAACAATTTTGTATGGAGGCTTCGTCTCTTTTCCCTGCCATCCGCCCCCAAAGAAAAAGAAAGAAAGAAGGATCCGGTAGTAATGCCTCTTTCTGTTTTTTTTTTTTTTTTTTTTTTTCACGCACCGCACGTCCATAGAAGAGAGCGTGTTAAATTATAAGAATAAAAAAATCATCGGGAAGGGGGGCTTTCATTTCACAGGAGAAAAGAGAGAGAGAGAGAGGGAGAGGCAAAATACATGTCAAGAAGCCTGTCATTGGGAGGAAGAGAAGCCAGACACTAATGACAGAAACATGCGAACATCACCACGTCCACTCACCCGCCAGTCCTTTCCCCAACCCTCAATGTCCTATCGTTCCCATTCGATACATACGGAGCAGCCGCACTAGTCAACATCAAAGAAAGAGGGAGAAAAAAAACAACAAAACAAAACAACAACAAAACGTCACATTCCTCCCTGTTTCTTTCCCCTTTTTAAAATTTATTTTGCAACATCTCTAAACCACCTAAAAACGAAGAAAATACTAATAATAATAATAATAATAATTCGCCTCTCTTCAAATTCATCCATTCACACAGACACAAATACGCTCTTATGGTTTTGCCCCACGGCCCCCGTCCGTGTGAGACTTTGGGTTGCCTCGCTTCGTCGGGCCCTTCGCGGTGCCCGAAGTATTTGACCCTTTTGGTTTGTTCAGCTTAGACAGCAGATCCGTCATGCTGCGTGAACCGCCTTGTCGCGAGGCAAACGTCGTGCGGACACCACCATCATCCCCTGCTGTTCGCTGCTGCTTCTGCAGCCTCTGCTGCTGCTGCTGTTGCTGCTGTTTGGCAGCGCCTCCCTTCTGGTCGCCCGTTCTGCCACTGCCGATGGCCCTGGCGACATCAGTGGCCATGGCCTCCTGTGACGATTGCGAGGGTGAGGATGAAACAGGGGGTGTCGTACCACCACCACCACTACCGCCACTTCCGTCCATCGCCTGCTCGACGCTGCGGCCCTCGAGGACATTCCGCCAGTACCGCTCACTGTTGCGTCTGAACTCTTCCATGGCAGCGGAGCGTTCGTTCTCCAAGACACGTGCCAACCCACGCACACTATTCTGTGCCTTCTGCCGGAGCGGCTGCACGTTGTCCGAGTAGTGCTTCAGTATTCTCTGGTAAAAACTAAGCATCGGCATTGTGCGATAAAAGAAACGGTTAAACGTTGCCACAAGACCAGCACCGTTCTGCGTGTGAAGCAAAAACTGCATGGCTGAACTGGCGGCAATGGTTTTATAGTGCGCGGATCTCTCCAAAGAGCGGCGAAGGCCCTGATCCGCGTCCGTCGACACGTAGACAACTTCTTCAGGACGGCGGGTAAAGTAACTCAACGACTTGGAGTTCGCGGCAATAAAACCAGTGGCCGGGGCCCGCACTGGCCCCACCTGAATACCATGCTGCTTAAATCGCTCCACCGTTTCAATGTGCTCTGCCTTGATGTTATCAAAGATAAATGGACCGTCAAGCGGGTCAAGAAGTTTAAGCGAAGTGTACTGCCCTGCGTGCGGTCCATTCGTTGTGTCAACATCAAAGTAGGAAGATCCAGGGTACACATCTGCATGTTTGGTGACGTTACAAAGGAATGCTATGAACGCCTCTATTGCCAATGTGATATTTGGCACATATTTCCCTTCACAATATTCGTCATAAAGCTGAGCCACCTTTTCATGTTTGCCAGCAAAGACAGGAAGAAGTGCTGCAAAAAACTCATGCCGCAAAACAGGATTACGCCTATTTTCCCGCACGATATATTGAATGTCCATCACAAGACCATCATCACGCAGCGCAAGTTCTTCAATGACATGCACCATCATTTTGTCTTCATTTTGCCAGTTTTTGGAACTCGAACGCTTTTGTCCAAGTTGTCGAATAGCACTCGAGAGTGCGGCAGAACCTTTTCGCTGCTGCTCGTTACGCGACTGTGTCGCATTGCCCTTGCGGTCAGCCGCGCTCGTGGAAGAGCCTGAGCCTGGACCGCCCCACGATAAAATAACCGAAACAGGTACAGCAAAGTCATCCCCAACAGATTCCTGTTCCGGGCAGTTGGCGAGGCCACGAGTGACAACGGCGATGTTCTCTGACGAGAGTCCCATGCGCTCTAGCAGGTGCGCCAGCTCTCGGCTCTTGACAAACGGAATGACGTTTCCGCTCAACCGCACTGAGCCACGGTGGAGTTGACTGGTCTTCTGTGCAAGAAGGCTCGGTGAGACACCTTTGCCGGCCAGCGCCGCAAGGCCCAGCTGGAATTCGCTCACAACAGAATTCTCCAAGTATGCATTGTAAAAAGGATCGGTGAACTGTGCGTTGCGACCCCCCAGTTGGGCACTTTTCAGCAATTGGAGAATAAACGGCTCATCAAGGCTGCTGTGGTTGGCTTGGCTCGCGTACTGCAACGCATACGCTGTGGGCTCCACATCCGCCCAAATCGTCCCACTGCGCTCTCCGCTGTTGCCAGATGGTGACAATGTGCCATCTACGGTCTGCAGCGATAGCTTGGGCACGGAGGCTGGAACTCCCTCGTTGAACGCCGCAATCTCCTGCTCAAGATATTTCGAAAGCACCTGCAACAACATTAGGGAAGGCGGCCGTCCTCGTTCACGCCACTCATGTAGCGAGAGCAGCAGCTGTCGCACATCTGCCTCCCCATCGGCACACTGTTCCACGGCCCATTGATGCACATCTTTCCCCGCCATCTTCTCGTCAAAGAGACGGACAAGTGCATCCTTGTAGCCCAATTCTCGCACCCGATCTTCCTCAGCATTGAGTGTGTTGTATTGACTGGTGTCATGTGAGGGGGAGTGTCCATGTGGCCCCAATCCAAATCCCTTCGCGTAATCCTCCGCGATTTCACGTATGCGTTCCCCAATACCAATTGTCGTCCCAAAAGGTGGGATTTTCCCTCCAAATGGGAGGCTCGTACTATCGATAAGACGCTGCTCTGTCGGGTCAACCAACGCCTTCTGCTCCTTGTTGTGCTGCTCCCACCAAACTCCAGAGGCTCCCACCAACTCTCGTTTAATTGCAACGCGCTTTTCTTCGTGGGCGACTTAATAAAGTTCCCTGGTCTTCTTCCGCTGATATCTCGCAGTGCCTGCTCAATCACATGCATTTCCGCATCCGTCA